GGGGGAACGGGACAGGGGGGTGTGCTTGGCCTGAATGAGTGATCCAATGGGCAGTAGCTTGCCCACCTTTTAAAGCAAGTCTGTTATTTTAGTGTTCAAATAGTAGCCCTGTTATGATTTTCCAGTCTTAATAGTGCTTCAGGTAAGCAACAAGAGTACAAATGCAGTTAGTATGCTGTGTTCTTTGAAACTTTGAATTTCATAATTTCTAAAATCAAATTGCTCATGAAGGTAGTTTTATAAATACTCTCGAGCCCAGAGTGGTAGCACACACCTTTAATCCCAGCACTCCGGAGGCAGAGGTAAGTGGATCTCTATGAGTTCAAGACCAGCCTGATCTACATAGTGAGTTCCGGGACAGCTGGGGCTACAGGGAGACCCTGTCTCAAAAAGACCAAATGAATACATACATACATACTCTTCGAATCCCACTTCCCTCCATACACAGGCACACTCATTTGCTTTAGAGTATGTGTGTCATTCCATAGACCTCGAGCCTGGATTCTGTACTACTAGAGAGATGCTTGGCCACACTCCTAATTTATTTGGGATCTTTAAAGGAATGAGGCGAAGGGACCCTAGCAAATGCAGCTTTAGTTGGCTTCTTTTTAATTTTCTCTTCCCCTTTCCATCTCCCATCCATCACTCCCATCTGCAATTAAAGCAAGATGATGAAGTGAGGATGGTTCAGGTTAAAGAGCAAGGCCGGAGCGTGTTGGTGCTGAAGAAAGTGCCGAGCTGTGGCCCAGCCCCCACGGCAGGGAGTGCGGAGAGCGACGTGAGGTGAGAGTCCCCGCAGCTCTAGCACGCATTCCTGTTTCCTTTCCCTTCCCGCCGCCTTCCCTTCCCAGCTCCCTCTCTCTCTCACTGCTGCTGCCTGCCCTACCCTCCCTCCCTCTCTTCTCTCCGCCTCTCCAGCGTTCTAGCTGACTGCAGAGCTCTTAGCAGCCAGATGGACTCAGTTCCCAGCAAAAGGACAGGGATGGCAAGGTCTTTTAGCATTTAGGGATGCCTTTGTTAGTTACAGTTCACGATGGGCAGCTCCCGCCTGAGGGTCTTTGACCCCCATCTAGAGAGGAAAGATTCCGCGGCTCTTTCAGAGCGCGAGCTGCCCTTGCCTACCTTCGATGTGCCTTATTTCAAATACATCGACGAGGAGGATGAGGACGATGAATGGAGCAGCCGCTCACAGTCTTCCACCGAGGATGACTCAGTGGACTCTCTGCTCTCTGATAGATACGTGGTGGTGTCTGGGACCCCGGAGAAGATCTTGGAGCACCTTTTGAATGACTTGCACCTGGAAGAAGTCCAGGACAAAGAAACAGGTAAAGCCCGGGGCGGGGGCGGAGGGGGGGTGCCTCCAAACCTGTAGCAGCTGATGCCGTCAGTATCCCCCCAGGGCGAGGCACTCACTGTTTGAGAAATCAGGATGGGCTGGAAAAAGCATATGCTTTGTGTGGCTCCCATGCCGGTGCTGTTCGTTTCAATCCAGTAAATGGACACATGTAGTTTTCAGGCAGCTGCCTGGGATGTACAAAGAAAATGAGTGAAGGAACATATGTATGCTTGGTAATTTTTGACAGATCTCACCGTAAAGACAGTTGGCAAAAAGCCAACATTTTATAGCTAGTGTGTTGTAGAAAGCAGTGTGAAGGGAGGGGGCTGGCTAGCAGGCATTTATTCACCTGTCCTGTAGGTGAGCTGAGCTGGGGGCAGGGGGCAGCCTTCCTGTCAACAGTTCCTGCACCTACTTAGCTGCTACAGCAACTTCTGCCTTTTTCCAAGTGGTTTACAAACTACTTGCTCTGAGCAAGCGCTGCGGTACCCAGTGTGCTGCAACATTCCAGACCAGGGACCTTATTGCTCAGATATCTTGTCCTTTTATTCAACCTGAGACCAAAATACCATCTAGCTTTTTCCTTGTGCACTTTTGGAAACATTATTCTATGTGCAGTTGACTTACCTATAATTTCCTTTTTCATAGAAGGGAGAGTACTTGCTTCTCTTAACCAGAATTTATCATTTGTTCTAGCCTAGAGCAGTGAGCCAATGAATAGGCCTCTGATGGGAGCCTGAATTTTGCAACTTGATCCCCTGACTAACATGTACCTTTTGCTGCTCCAACAGCACCTGTGACACCCACAATATGCAGTATATTGATTGCATCAAGAAACGGCAGCTGTAGCTTGTATTAGTGCAAAGTAATTACTTGGGTTTTTACCACACTGGAGAGATTATGAAATCCCAGCTTAGAAGAAGTTTCCTAGCATCTCAGTAGTTTTGTCGGAACATGAATAATGTTTGGATCTGTATTACATTATAAAGGACAATAAGAGGAGCAATATGTGAATAGGTTAAAATGTATGACCCAACCATGTATCCAGTGATAACATTGATTCCAAAATTCAAGTACTTTATTTCATGTGCAATTAGGAGAAAAATTAGGTTATCACATATATATATATATATACATATACATATATATGTGTGTGTGAACTATTCTCAAAATAAAAGTATTCTCATGGCATTCACTGGGTTGTATGTTTGAAAATTAATATTTTGTCCATTTTGAGCACTGTTTCCGTGCTCCACCTGCTAACCTACCAGATGTAGGCATGACACTGGGTCTGATTTCTGATGTACTGGTTTCTAGACTACTGTACATAGGTAGTTCAGAGTAGAATGCAGGCAAGTTGTCTATCACAGAAAGGACAAGTCTTTTTAGATAGGATGGAGCAATGGAAAAATCGAATGCTTTCTGCTCTTTAACATCATAAGCACAGAAATTATTTAATAATGATGTACTGTCTTTTCACCTTTTCTAACTTTCCTGTTTATATATTTACCCCTCCCTCCCTCCCTCCCTCCCT